AGCCTTAAAGAGTCACACAGCAAATTTGCTGAAAATTCCCTTCAACAAGATCGGACACGCTCCCTTTGGCAACACCTGTGGTGACGGTATGGTTGTGGTGAACAGGAGTTATTGGGCAGGGAGGGAGGGAGTGGGGGGAATGGTTTGCAAATCGAATCTGTAAATGTGATGATGATGATGGATCTCACCCAAGGGTGGGGCCACAGAGCTTTGGAGTCTTCGCTAGGCTCAGCAGAAGAATGGAGAACATCACAGTTCACACAGCTGTCGACTGACTGAACCCTCCAGGCTGCATCTTGCCAGAGAGACACCAAAGGAACCCAAACAATCACCCGCCCACACTGACAATTGGCAACACTCCCGATGACACAATCACAAAGCAATTTGTAATCAGCAACTGAATCATCAATCATCCCCCTCACTTTGCTCTCCATCCTATCCTGTCCACCACCATTTATCCCTCCCTGCTGCAGACGTACTGTATTGGATGCGCATCTCCAATAAGGCCTCCCATTGCAGAGACCCACTTATAATCCTATATTCTTCCAAGCAAAGCACTGTTACAATGATTTTGTTTGGATACAGCACCTAATCACACCGCCGATTTGTCTCAAAGCCCTTCACAAGATTTATAACAAAATGCAGCGACTGATTGCAGGATATTTCACAGGATTTTGTTTTGAGAAAGTTAACGAAGAAAATAACTGGGGTGAAAGGTTCATTCTTTCACTACCACCGTGAAGGATTCCACGGACTTAGAATATTGATTAACGTGGGCATGACTGCTAAAGATTTGATCTGTGATTTGATTTCACGTTGGGACATATCATGGCTTCACCTGCACTAATGGGTTTCAAACCAACCAAACTCTCACATCAATCACATGAAGGGGGCTCAGTGTCTTTGCACAAACTGCAAACCCTCCTCTGTGGTTGTGAAATGCCTCGTCTGATTTCATTTGAGTTTGCCCAGAAGCACTGCTGTGTTCATTGGAGTAACGCCAAAATATCCAACAGCTGAAGTCACCATCTAATCTACACCAGGATCCAACTGACTTAACCAGTATAGACATTTAACCTGCCCAAACCTGGGTTTTTAAACTAGACACCACAACTTTAATTGGGATGTTTCGCCCACAAAACACACCAGTCACTACTCCTTACGTATCTCCTGTGAAGCGCATTGAGATGTCCTCCTGACATGAAAGGCGCTGCATCAAATGAATTGTTTATTGTTAGATTATTATTATATTATGCATTACATTCTGGGACCATTCTGCAAACAAATCGCATTGATAACCTCTGTCCTTGGTATGTACGTTTAGCCACAAAACACACGATCACTTCGCTTCACATTAAATCCTGTGAAAGGGCTTTGAGAGCATCAGCACACGGTCGCTCGCCTTCAATGTTTGAAATGATCCTTATTACAGGACATTTCAGTCTATGAGCAGACGGAAACACACAGCCTCTTGTACACTGGTCTGCCGGTGACAACACACTCTATTCTTATACACCGACACTGTCCACCAAATCTGTACCGATTCCCTGAAACCACCGTCACGGCTCATCGCAAGTCCGCAAAAAGCAAAAACACAAGAAGAAATAAAAACTGCCCAATATTAGTGGGAGAGAAGGGGAGGGAGGGGGAGCGGGGTGGAGGGAGAGAGTGAGAGAGGGCACCTCTGGGTATAACTAATAATGCAGACATATTTATAGTGTCTGGGATTTGCATAAAGTACAATTTACATTTTAAAAATAATTATATAAATAATAATTAAAAATAATAAATAATTAAATCGTAAACTCTGCCCATTCCACTCAGTTTCCTGAGAGAGTGAACAAAGCAGTTACAAGACAGAACCGTCTCCCCAACTCCTGAAGGTTATCAAGCAAATCCCCCCACCCCACCCCACATCCAGCTTTACAGCCCATAATATTCAAGCCCAACCACTCACATTCCACCACTCACTCATATCTACAAGAGGCTTTTTGGAAAGAGAGGAAACATTTTCGTGAGAATGCCTCAAAGCGCTTCACAGGATTTACTGAGAAGCGCAGTGACCGTGTGTTTTTATAGGCAAACATGGTTTGCGCACAGAGCCATCCCACAAACAGCCATGAAACAAGTGACCAATTTTATCTGTAGGATTTTGGAACTGGAAACTCCATCTCCTTTTAGCGTCCACCTGAACAGCTGGTTTTAATGTCTCATCCAAAGAATGGCATCTGTGACAAATACTGGACCTAAACCAACAGGTACAAAAGAGAGAGAGAGAAAGAGGAGAGAGAATAAAAAGGAGAGATGGAAAATGTATTGGGGGTGGGGGAGGAGAAAGACACAAGATATTTGTGTAATTGACTCAAGCTAAACACACATTAAACAACAGAGTTTGAGAACGGGTGGTCTACATAAACAGAGGCTCAGGAGTCACCTTTTAAACACACAGTAATTCCTCAACACCACTTCTCACAATATCACCAGCCCCCACTCTGGTTCAGCTAAACAGATCTGACAGAGACCTTTTCTCAAACGGAAAATTTATAGCGTTTAATTTAAAAACAAAACCCTAAATGCGGTCATTGTACTAGCAGCTGAGCAGCCGCTCTCCCAAACAAAGGCAAAGAGAGAGCGAGAGAGACTGTATGAGATAGAGAGAGTGTGTGTGTGAGAGTGTGAGATAGAGAGTACAAGTGTGAGTGAGAGCGACAGATGCAGAGCTAGACAGAGCGAGCTAGAGGTAGAGAGAGGAGAGAGAGAGAGACAGAAGAAAGAGAGAGAGCTGACAAATGCAGCTCAGAGAAAAACCAAACTAAAACAAACAGGTACAAATATGGATTCAGTACTGTATTACATCTGAGTGCATTCTAGACAAGTGTCTGAATCCTTCCCAATACCTATAATGGAGGTGGTTCGCTCAACATCACTAAAGCCTAAACAATTGCCCATATCTGGTCAATCCCAGGGCCGTTTGCCTTTTGAGGACAATGGGTTTCACAGCAAAATAACTTGCCTAAAGAGCTCCTCAGACTTCCCTCAAAAACAATATTTACAAGGTCTTTTTTCATATTCAAATCATTTAATCGGAGATGAATATTTTGAGGGAAAACAAAGCTTCTGGGGGGGGGGAAACGTCCCTCCAAAAAAAAATAATCATTTGGTCGCTCAATCTGTGGCTGTTTGTGGGACGTTGCTGTGTGCAACTGGCTGCCGCGTCTCACCCACAAAATACACAGTCGATTCACTTCACACTATATTCTGTGAAGTGCTTTGATACATCTCAACAACGTGATAAGGCGCTATCTCAAATGCAAAGATTATTCTAAAGTGTCAAGATATAATAATAAACCTTGCGTTTGATATAGCACCTTATCACGTGGTATAAACATCTCAAAGCGCTTCACAGAATATCTAGATCACTCAATCCATGACTGTTTGTGGGACGCTGCTGTGTGCAATTGGTTGTCGCGTTTTGCCCACAAAATACACTGTCAATCCACTTTGCAGTGCATTCTGTGAAGGGCTTTGAGACGTCTTGACGACTTGATGAGGCGCTGTATCAAATGGAATTATTTTTATGATTATTATAATATGGGATCACGTCACAGGGAACTGTGGAGATGAACTTTAAGCAGGAGGTAGCACCACAGCACCCATTCTGACACTGCAACGAGACATTTCAGCTCTCTGTACTGGCTGCTCAACCCCAGATGTTTCACACAATTAACTAACTGGCCATGACCTGATCCATCATCAGTGCTGGGTGGGGGAGTGGGGCAGTGACAAAAGGCTTTGCTTACGCCTCTCCCTGGGGCGAGTTGGGATCACCTTACACTTTGCTGGTCTAGTGAGAAGTTTGGCCTTTGCCTAATCCCTTCACATTCCTGATATGCAAGATTGTACCCTGGAATGTCTTCCACACACACACACACACACTCGCTGTTTCACGATACCATCTTGCCACAAAACGTTGCCATCAGCCTTTAGTTACCTGCTCACAGTCCACGTGTGCGTGGCAGACAGAAGGCTTCCTTGGTCTTGGGGGGGGGAAACAGTCATAGAATCATAAATAATGATAATAATACTTGCATTTGATAAAGCGCATATCAGGTCTTTGAGAACGTCTCAAAGCGCTTCACAGAATATACTGCAAAATTATTTGTGGGCGAATCATAGAATCTTACAGCACAGAAGGAGACCATTTGCCCCATCATCCCTGTGCCAGCTCTTTGAAACAGCTACCAACTAGTCTCACTCCCCCAACTCCTACCTGCAAACTTTTCCTTTTCAAGTACCTATTCAATTTCCTTTTGAAAGCTGTTATTGAATCTGTTTCCACCGCCCTTTCAGGAAGCGCATTCCAGATTGTAACAGCTCTCTGGGTAAAAATATATCGAACAACAAATCACATTTGTATATCAGCTTTCACGTCGGGACGACGTCCCAAGGTGCTGTTTGGAGTTTAAGAACTTGGCAAATTTGGGGTTTAATAACTAGTAAAGGCTCCCCCTTTTTTTCTTTATTAACCCCAATCATTTTACCCTCTCTCCTTCCCACCATCCCCAACACATGAACCCTCTGAAAAACACAGGATTGCTTTCACACTTGCGAAAGTCTTTTTTTTATGCAATTATGTTAAAAAAAACACTTTAAAAGCATAATATTCTGTCCCTTCCAAAACGCAGCCAGCTTTAAAAGAGCTACTAGTGGTGAAATGGGCAACATGTGTTAATTACAGCTTACAGGGTTAAACACATGCACACACACACACACACATTAAACTGCAACAACAACAAAAAAAAAGTTTGGGACAAGTTTGCAATAACTTTTTTCTCTAAAGAGTTGCAGGAACACTCCCAATGACACCCATCGTCTTTAAAGAGCTGTAAAGAGATTTTATCTTTAAGCAACTGAACATTGGAAGTTGCTGTTCTCCCCCACTAACAGGAGACAGACACAAACACTCATTAAAGCCCCTGTTTGTTTGCTCACTCACTCACCCTGGAAATAGTCAGAGGCATGTTGAAATCTTTGCCTCCTTGCAGACGAAAGCCCCAAGGTGCTGATCCTTCTAAAGTCACCTTGTAAAAGTCCATCGCTGTTCCCCTGACTTGAGAGAGTTTGCACCTAAAAACAAGGAACAAAAGAGAAACCAACTTTGCTCTTTGGAGGGGAGTGGGTGGAGGGCAAAGAGAAAAGAGTTGGGATTGTCTTCCCAGATCTTTAGCAAATAAGACACACAGAGAGAGAGAGAGAGAGGGAGAAGGAGAAGGAGAGAGGGAGGAAAGTTTTTCTCTCCAGCCAGTTTATTCTGGAGGCAATGAGAGCTCTGCACTTCCAGGCTATATAAGGCGTGCAAAACTACACCAAACTATTTCAGCAACTTTTTTTATGACTCACACCAGGGAATTCAAACGCTACAACGCACTCACGTCACAGCCATTTCCCTGCCAGAGCCAAAGAAACTGAACCCACAACTCAACTGAAGCAGCCTGATATATTACCTTTATTTCTTCCTTCCTTCCTTCCCTCTTTCTCTCCCTTTTTCTCTTTCTCTCCCCCTCACCTACTCATTTGCACCTTTGCAAACTGATGTGGGTATTTTTTTTCCCAGGAACTGGGATATTTTGCATTGGGTCTTTGTCAGCACTGACTGAAGCTGATTGACTAGTTAGTTAGTTAGTTAGTTAGTTAAGTTAGTTGGTTGGGATCTTCCAAGTTAACATGCTCAAAAACAACAAAAAAAAAGGTCTTCGTAAAAGTTGTGGTGGGGGCGCAAAAGTTTCCAAAGTTCTTATGCCCTTTTTAAGAGAAAAAACTTTTTCTTAAAAAATGTTTTTAAACCCTTTAAAACTTTTCTTTTAAAAAAAACTTTTTTTAAAAGGCTTTTAAAAGTTTTTAAAAAGTTTTTTTTGCACTCCCCCCCACCCCCACCGAAAAAAAATCTCCAGGTTGCAAAGAAACTTGACATAACATAATATTCTCACTCCCCGGGTTGCGTTAAATAAAAGTTCACACATAGCATTAACCCCGCTCCCCCCACTTCCAGTTGATCTATGGGGTTGTAACCAACTCCTGTGGGTGTGTTGATGTTTTGCCACCCTTCTCACTGGTCAGAACTGCATCCATCCCAAGAAAAAAAAGCAGCAGAGGACACCGCTGAAGGTCATTTTCTGCCAAACGACCGATGATGGTTGGGGATGTAAAAGCCAGCAAACTTCCTTATTGTTGAGCGATTACAGCAATTACAACAGCAACTGCGCACGATAGTCTTGAGAGCAGCTCAGCCCAGCACAGTCCCGGTCAGGCCCAGCACTATTTCACCAACACGTGCGTGAATGCACAGTAATAATAATAATAACAATCATTGTGTTTGACACAGCATGTCGTTGAGATATCTCAAAGCAGGATATGCTGTACTGTAAAATGGATTGATTGACTGTTGACAATTGGTTGCTGCGTTTTGCCCACAAAATACACAGTCACCACACTTTATAGTATGTTCTGTGAAGCACTTTTAGACGCCTCAACAATGTGATAAGGCGCTATATCAAACCCAAGGACTATTATTATTATTTTGTGGGTGAAACATGGCAGCCAGTTTGCGCACAGCAGCATCCCACAAACAGCTGTGTGGAGTGAACGACCGATTTTATTTAGGGATTTATTGGCCAGGACACACACACAAACACACACACAGAACACACGGAGACTGGATACTTTATCATAATAATAATAATAAAAATCCTTACATTTGATATAGCGCCTTATCACGTCGTTGAGGCGTCTCAAGGCACTTCACAGAATATACTGTAAATAATAATAATAATAATCCTTGCATTTGATATAGCGCTTTTCACGTCGGGAGGACGTCCCAAAGCGCTTCACGGAACACACTGTAAAGTGAATTGACTGTATGTTTGTGGGTGAACGCGGCAGCCAATTGCGCACAGCAATGTCCCACAAACAGTCGTAGATTGAAAATGACCAATTTTATTATTGTGTTTGGTTTTTGGAGGGATTATTATTAAGGAAACTTGCCCAAGGTTTCGCCCTGTCTGGAATTGAACTCAGGTCACTCACTTGCAAAGCGAGTGCTCTAATCACTGAGCTACAGGACTCCACAGTGGAGTGACTGTGTCTTCTGTGAGAGAAATGGCTTTAGACCCCATCCTCAGACACAAAGCGAATTAAGTACCACTTTGTGGTTAATATGAACATGCAAACAGGCCAAGGGATGGATTCCAACAGGAAAACTCACGCTGCACACACATTCAGAAATACATATGAAGGAAACAATTTTCTCGTAACTTTATTCTTTGGGGTTTTGTTTTCTTTTGAATCTGTTCCCATTTGGCTTTTGCATTTTATTGCTCTGCACTATTCCCGGCTGTGGGTCTGTATTCCAATCAAAAGATTAACTGGAGGCAGTTTAGCAAAAAAATGATGCATAGATAGATGCTTTAGTGTGATATAGTGGCACTTTAGCAAAAACACGAATTGGTCAAACGCAAGGATTGCTATTAATTCTGTTTTATTCATTGTTGGAAGGACGTCGCCAAGAACTTCAGGGAATTTACCACTAACCCAATTGACCCTTGTCAACTTTTTTTTCTATTGTAAAGTGTAAGCTACAGGGGGAAATGCAACTGACGCTTAACTTTTAACTTGTTAAAAGAGCCGTCACAGTCACGATGGGCCGAATGGCCTTCTTCTGTGCTGTGAATTTCTACAGTCTTTCTTCTCCATTTCCAAAACACAAAATGCAGATTCCCCTCTTGCAATAGTTAATTGTTGCCAACAGATGGCATGAGTGTGCTTCGGAGATGCTTCAGTATGATCTAATGGCATTTTACAATTACTCAGACGAAGAGAATGGTATTAATGTGGCCAGTAAATTCTGGTGCAGAGTTTCCGATCATAAATCACCTATAATAAAGCCGTACGTTATTGTAAAAAAAAAGTCCACCCAGTCACAAAGGCTGCACGTAATCGCACTCTGAAGACTGCAGAAAAATAGTTCTAATAATTTTCTAAAAATATTATACTCATCATCATGTTTATTGTTTCTCTTTCAATCACCTGAGGAACGATGTCACTGTTTGCTTTGCTATGTGCAAAAAATAACAATAGCTCATTGGAACCATCTGGTGTGAAGAGCTTTGAGACGTCCTCCCGAGGTGAAAGGCGCTGTATAAATGTAAATCTGGATTGTATTGTATTGCATCTCAGCCACAGTGAATGGTTAACTCATCTGGTTAATTCTCTTCTGCTTATTCAGTGGATCCAATTCACTCAGCTCCTGTTAACCCTGAAAGCCAAAGCCCTAACAGGTAGGGTGGCCCGAGCTGGACAGGCAGCGGGAAAGATTGTCAGAAAGTGAATTCAGTGGTAAACTATACTGCTTTACCTGATTAGACTCCAGCAGTTACCCCAACGCAAACTTGGGACTAACGCACCAGATAATACAGAGAACTCTCAGTGCGGTTATAACCTTTCAATGCTCGAATGTTTGTAGTGGAGACGAATAACAGCTGTAGAACTATCAAAGTATCTCTGACACATTGGGACGTACTCCTGACGCGAAAGGCGCTATAAAAATGTAATTGGTTGTTGCTGTTGTAGTTGTTACCAAGATCGATGGGCTGATGAAGCCGGTTTTAAGTATCAGAGACCTTTGGCTTTTGAAACAGTTACTGCCAGCGCTGAAGTTTTTATTACAAACGTCTCAGTGATAAATAGTGTAAACCGTTTCAAAAGAGAGTTTTTATTATTTTGAAATATTGCTCACTGTATTGTCATCATTTATACTTCGACTGATGTAATTTCTCCCATCTTGAATTACAGCAGGATTATTTTCACGAGTGTGTAATCAACAGTAATGGGGCCGAGGTGATGTATCTAATTCCGATTTCTTTTCTTGTTTGCTGACATGTGTTTGACCCCTTTTGTTCCGGGCACATTTAAAGATTGACGGAGTGATTGATTTATCCCATCTCATTCCTCTTAAGATGTGCAGAGTTTCTGGTGCATGCGCTTTCTCTTATAACAATAAAATAATAATAATCCTTGCATTGGACATTGCACCTTATTACGTCGTTGAGATGTCTCAAAGCGCGTCACAGGATATACTGCAAAGTCCACTGACTGTGTATTTTGTGGGCGAAACTCAGCAGCGGTGTCCCACAAACAGTCTTGGATTGAGTGGCCCAATTTTTTTTAAAGGGATCGTTAGCCTAGAAACCAATCAGCCACTTGACTAACAACCAGGTTCCTACTTACTGCTACATAAAGAGAGGTGTTTTAGTTTGGTTTCCGGTCACTTTGACATCAGTCGTTTCAACAACAACAACAACTTGAATTTACACAGGGCCAGAGCTCTTCATTCAATCCCAATGGAGTAAGGAAATTTGCCTAAGGTTTTCCCCTTCCCGGGAATCGAAACAGGGTCCTCTCACTTGTGAGACGAGCGATCTACCCGCTACGCTACGGGACTCCACTTATTTCTCTCCTGTGCTCCATACACTTCTCCTGAGAGCTCAGCTCCCATCCGACTCCCTCTAGTTATAAGAGTCACCCTAGTGCATGGCTGTATAGGCACAAAGTGGGGGGGCAATAGTTGTGCTATAGATATAAAAAAACACTTTGAAAACCAACACTAAAACTGTAAAAGACTCCGATGGACTTGTATTTCATAGCTCCCAAACTCGGTTTGCAGTTTAAGATGTTGACCACAAGAGGGCGGAAGAATGGCTCAACATTCACAGTCCATGGAACCTTTCAGTTTGGTTTCCGGTCACTTTGACATCAGTCGTTTCAACAACAACTTGAATTTACACAGGGCCAGAGCTCTTCATTCAATCCCAATCTCCGGCCTTTACCCTGTGCGCACACGCGCACGCACAAGGAGACTTTCACACCCTAGAATCTTACAGCACAGAAGGAGGCCATTCGGCCCATCTTTGACAGAGCTACCAACTCGTCCCACTAAATTGTGGTGATCAATTGTTTTGATATATGTGTACCCAGATTTAATTTATAACATATGGTCGCCCTGCGTTACTGCGACCGACACTAAACTGATCTCACCTTTACACCCATCGCATGGACGGTATAATATACTCCCGGTTCCATTACCCGCTGCCTCCAGCTCAGCGTCCTGTCCCGACAATGTCAAGCCCTTTGGGACGCTACCCTGTGTGAGGGGTGCTATATAAATGTAAGTTGTTGTTGTTATAAACCTCTGCGTTAGCTGGTTAAGATACTAGTGAGAGCAAAGGTTACAACGCTCCTTTAGATAAAAAGTTTTTAAGGTTTTTTTTTCTTGTCTCAGTGAACCTAAGCCATAG